CCAAATTGAATGTCCAAATTGATCCACTTATTCAAATCCTCCCGCATTGTAAGTAGTTTGCAGTGATTCAGTTGGTGTTTCAAACCTCATTGCGGCAAAAACAGGCTCTTTTCGAAATCACACAAAGATAAATCTACGTATAGAGTCACAGCCCTCTGGTAATTACTTGCAGTCGCTTCCAGAAACGTGGCCGAAATTGAACGACATCTGTGCAAGCAGTAACCACAAACGACCCCTGGATACACATCCAAGATTTCATTAGACCCTGGTTTGAACATACAAAACTTCTGTGTAAAATGATAAAAATGACTGAAATTCGTAGACCTGAGTCCTCCCGCAACGGTCACAGTCTTTCGCGTCTTCTGCAATATATGGTTGACAACCGAGGTTACTCGCATTCTTATTGCCAGTCTCTCTCCAGGAGCAAGGTTACATTTCAGTTTCGCAGTGGAAAGCTGCATTTGGAAGTTTAATCTGGCTTAGAAGCTCAGGTTGATTCGGAGTTTAAGCGTCGAAATTACTGAGCAAGTTCCGAATCCAGCATTGGCACATCGACCTGTCCTGTCCAGGCTTGGGCTACCCGGCGATTGCTCAGCACTTGTGCTTCCCTCGGGCAATATAGCGGCAGCATACCAAAACGGTATCGCACCTGTATTACTATTATTATTATGTTCCTAATATTAAAATAGCTATTTTGCCACTCTGTATTTCAGCAGATTGTTTTCAACTGTACTGCTGTGAGTGTCAGGCAGGTGAACCGAACCTCAGTCCGCTGCGCAAATTGAACCATTTAAAAGTAATTGGACTGAGCACAGATGTCGGTACGAGCACCTATGGAAGGCATTTTGCTTGACCGATGCGAACACTGAAAATATGTCGAGACAGTGCCAACTCGGGTGACTTAACAGGTTACTGGTCATCTCGCTACTGATCTGTCAGTCAAGCCAAAAGTTGGATTGCAAATATTTCAGTGGGTATTGGCCTTTCGCGGTGATCAGGCTTCCTATGCCGATGATAGTGAAACAGCTGTAAACTAGGGGTCACGCTGGTTAGGCTATGAATTTCAGCAATAAAAGGAGCTTATATTGAGTACGGTTCCTCCAAGGAGGGCGTGGAGTTTTGGTTATTTGTTCGTTTGCGGTGCTATAGTAAATTGCGAACTACGTTCCAAATAAATCCATCGAGTAACCACTGAAATTAGGTACAATCCTGGCCGATATTTGTCAACAAAACCAGTACAGGCCAGCTGAGCATCAAGGAAATCACAAGATTTTCCGGGGAGGAACATGGAATTCCATCTTGCGTTGCGTCCGGATGCTCAAAGGTTCAACAATGTGCGAACACCTAGATAGAATTTCTGGTGGCCAGTCAATACGTAACTTGGTTTTTCTTTTACCTAATTTTGTGCAAAAATTTACTCCACTTGTGACATAATATCCAGCCAACGAGACAATGGTTGCGCTGGTTTTATCGTAGAGAATGCAGTTTCCAGTCGTTGCCGGCGTACGTGGACGAGTGAGCCTTCAGTCGTACGACCGTTTCTCACTGGGTTCTATGGCCCTCCTTCAAAATCTGCTGCATACTGAAGTGTTTTACCTCGCACTAACTTAGATATATAAACATTCAGGTAAATCAGGCAATCCCACTGAGTCGTTATTGTGGTGATCGGCTTTTTTAAAAATATAACTCGTAGAATGCCGGTATATGCCAAAAATTCCCGAAGAGAACTAGCTGTTTGAAACCGGGAGATGGGAAATCCGAGACCCAGTTCATGCTTGAAGGTATGGTGTATTGACTCAGGAGATGTTACGCATGCCGAGATTTCTGATGTGCTGAAGCTTTCCAAGGAACATATTTTGCCCAACTTTCAAATGATCTGTCGCATTTTATTAGAGGAAACCCTCCCTAATTCGCCTACTGTGCAACCAGGTAAAAGGTGGGCCAAGAGCAGCTGACCATTAGTGCGTTTAGCTCTTAGTTAGACTGGATATAGCGCCAATCATCCTTCAATCGCAGTAACGAAATTTCATAGTCACATATTGTTCACAGGTTCTTCGAGTGACGTCATTTCAAAAGAACGTTTCAGTCATCTTACAAAACCATTCTTTCTCTGATATACTCATAGATTGCTGATGTAACGTGATACTACAAATCGTGCAGGCGTAAGAGTTACATATTCTCTTCCAGTAAATTCGCTTGAAAAGACAGAACTTTGTGGACTCGCTTTGCATCATTTGATTGGAATTGGGCAACGCTTAATGAAAATCCAGAAACGTTCAGCAAGCGCGTTTAGGTGAAGATGGATGTTATTTTTCTAAGTAAGTTGCAAGTGAGAAGTTTGCGTTCCTCTCCTACCACAGCTGGTTTGCTAAGAATTTCAGCATTACTGCTGCAACTGTACGACTTGCTTGGGCGAAGTGGGAAATTCGAGTGGACCAGAGAAGATTTTGAGTGTGTCAACGGGCGGATGCTGGACCAGCAACTGACAGTGAAACGGCCAGAGTCGTAGAGATGTACACTGTTGCAACGGACGCTAGTGTTCGCGGTATCGGCGAAGTACTAAAGAAGAGGAATGGAGTTGTCGAATATGCCAGTCATGTCCTGACTAACGCTGAACAGATGTATTCGACCACTAAGAAAGAAGGTTTAACGATCGTCTGGGCTCTGGAAAAATGGAGGCCATATCTCCTTGGGCGATGGTTTCATAGCGAAACTGATCCCAACCTTCTGAAGTGGGTGAGGACCGCAAGTGATCCGCGGAAAAAGATCGCTCGCTGCGCAATCCGACTGCAAGAGTACAACATCACAATGCAGCACGTGCCAGGGAAGGACGACCACTTGGATGATTGGCTGTCAAGACCGGAGTTTGAAGATGAGGTCCTCAGGATCATGATTCTAGCCAACGGCCTCGTCGTCGAACTGGATCCAGGAAGTTTGGTGCAACTCCAACGGCACGATCCTGTTTTACAAATGGTTGTAACCGCCTTGTTATATGGAAGGAGCAGTGAGAACGAAGAGGGAGACAAGGAATCGGGAACACTCCAGAGTCACTAAGACTGAGTATGTCGGAATGAAGGTGGCATATTTTACTGGAACGACACTGATTCGGATGTTGCGCGACTCGTGATGCCTAGCGTTTTCAGACCGAAGCTCATCGTCGAATGCCATGGGATGGCATATACTTTGGCAGAGGGCCTATTGGCCCGGGGTGAGAAGTGCGGTGATGGATTATGTGGTGTCCTGTAAGCGATGCCAACTGATGGAAGGGGACACGAGAGGGGGAATCCCACCCATGAAATATATTGCTGTTCCAGAGATCAGCGAGTTGTGTTTCGTGAACGTCACGGGTCCTTTTCCGGTGACACACAGGGGGAATCAATACATCGTAATAATGAAAGAACACCTGTCCTAGCGGAAAGAGGCGGCAGTCGTACCTAATCGGCAGGCGGCGACGACCAGCGGAGTGGTAGTGCAACTCATCGTGGCCAACCGTGATGTGCCAAAGGTGATCCAAAGCGATCAGGGGCCTGGCTTCGAGCGCGAGGAGTTTAGGATTTGCTTGCAGAACCTGAGTATCAGACGGCTAAGGATGGCACCATACCACCCTCAAAAAAATGGCTTAACCGAACGATCAAGGATTGGCCTGGGGCCAAACGAGCTAACTTGGAGATGAATTCGCCGATGGTATTGCTAGCCAATCATGCTTCCATAGATCCAACCACAGGCAAGTCCCGGCTTATGCTGAAATGTGGTGGAAATCCGCGCCTTCCGGTTGGCCAGGAAATTTGCTTGTAGCCGGCAACACGATTGTCTACAAAACCATTAGAGGAAGAAGGTAGGAGTGCTCGAGATAACGTAACCGCCGTTCAGGAAAGGACTAGGCAGAAAACGGCAACTAGAGAGGCACCACCATTCCCCATAGGCACGAAGGTCAAGAGGAAGGATCACCAGAGTCCCGGAAAATTGGGGCCGCGGAAGCTGGGAAGTCGATGGCGGAGTCCCCTTTTCGTTACCAATCGCCCGGTGATCGTCCATATGATTCAAGATGGCCGTGGATCAAAAAGAGTAAATGGGACGCAGATCCGTAAGCAGCATGATACACAGAAAAGGCGACCGAGTAGACCCGCTGAAGAAGCCGACCTGACGGAGGCAAATGAAAATCGATGGCATGCTAACGACTTTTAAGTTGGTGTGTAACGTTGATACAACTGGATGAGGGAGGCAAGTGAGCACCAAGCTCTCTTCTTGTGAACTCGTTTGAAAAGTGAGATCTTTGCGGAATTTGTTTACTGGCTTTGTACCATTTGTTTGAGCTTTAGCAACACTCAGTGGTTATCCTGGAAATTTCAGCAAGACGCGTTTAAATGAAGATGGGTGTTCAGTTTTTATAAATAGGATACATAGGAAACGTTTGACTTACTGTTCAGTAGTATGTAACTTGTCATTTAGCATTTTGTATTCGATTACTTCCCAGCAAGGGTCTTCTTCCTGTTACTGATATTATGAAGAAGTTGGGAGAGTTCCAAATGGGACACACGATTTTACTATGGCGTTTTAATACAAATAGCCGTATTATTGTCCCCGGGGACAAAAAGAAGTTAAAAGGTACCCATAAAACCACCAGATTCCTGAAAACAATTTTGTAGACTCAGGTTTCTACTCAGTGCTGCCTGAAGCGCATGGACGCTGAAGGAGTCCTACAAAATATCATAAATCATCATTGTGCACACATTGTTGGAATGAGATTCCATACATTCAAACGATCAATCATTGAACAAGCTGATCAAAATGGCCGATCGTACCCTGATTACCATAAACTTTGTCCCGAAGACCCACTAGATTTTTTGGTGGATACCTTTCTGACCTGTAAGGCAAAGTTCGATTCACAGGAGATACACAGTATAAGATTCAAGCCACACGGAGCCTCAAGTAAACCTGAATATGTTGAGCCGTTGTTCTCTTCTCATTGCGTTCCTTTTCTGCATCGACCACATGTTTGGATGAATATGTTGAGCCGTTGTTCTCTTCTCATTGCGTTCCTTTTCTGCATCGACCACGTTGCATGTTTGGAAGCCATCGGTGTCCACAAGTGGTCGTCCATATTTAACAATAATCCGTCGAAGAACTGGGTTGTCCTTGTCGCCGGTTCCAACACCTGGGAAAATTATCGACATCAAGTAGGTTTCCGTTGGTTTTTTGTTGGTTTGAGGCTCCTAAGTTCATCTAAATCCCGCAAGAAATTGTCCTCATAGTATAAGTTTACAATAATGGTACCCCAACAAGTTGTGTCCTACCTAGTTTTCTCCAAATGTCACATTTTACTCGAGATGGCAGTGTATAGACGCCACAACTAATAGGAACACTAATGGTCCCACATTTCGTGGCCTGTATTCGTGTTTGCCATTACCTTCATGTCGTAAAACCATATTTTGTTTTGGGTGAGGTCGATTCTGCGGTCCTTTTAAACTCAGTTGTTACTGAGTTCATAGCATGTTTCACTCTAATCGGAATCCGACTTTCGTCCCCCATAGGTGTTTATTGTTGCGTTAGGTTACGTGAAATCACGGCATTTGAGTGGAATGTAGGGTGTTGCCGAAAACATAAATTCGATGTTTTTCCAGCCGCCACTAGTCATCTGACCTGATATTTTAACTTCATTATATTAGAGAAACTCTTTCGGGCTCCAGCAGTACCGTAGCCTGGAGAGGCCTGTTGTATGAACCATGTTTCAGAAACCTCAACAAATGCCACGGACGTACCAACAACATTGGCTGCTTCGGCGACATCACCGAAATTGCTAGACAATGTGAGCGGATAAATTTATGCTACTTGGTGAGATCAAGTAGTGGGAAACATACACATACAAATCTATCTTGGTCATATTCGTTCGTCCGCTCGTCTATCACTTGCATCGGACTATACGAAAACCGTGTTGAAAATGTTACACATAATCAGTGCGTGTGTATCCATTCTTAAGGTTCAGTGGGTAATAATTATTTGCCACTGAGTTTCGCCACTATGTGACTATATTTCTAGCACAGAAGCGAACGACAGATTCGGATGTATTTTCGAAGTCAAGGGATACCAATATTGCACAGTTCCGGTGAGCAAGTCGTCGTTCTGACATTTGACTGACTCAGGAACTGTGGTCCACACAAGCCCTTCCAGAGTAGAATAATGCTTCCTGTTCATTGGATAATGCATCTAACTACTGTTGGGATAACTGATACTCCACCGAGTATGATAATTGTACACATCCTGCTTGCCTTCTTCAGACGCCATGCCTCCCTCTACCTGTTATCCTAAATTCACGTGTCATTTGTGTTCTCATTCAGGCGGACGTTTACCACGCGTATCGCGTCGTGCGTGCAAACAAAGTTCCCGCGGAGAATGTAATTACCTTCGCCTACGACGACATTGCAAACAATCCCAAGTAAATATCGCATAATATTTTCGCTATATGGTTGCAAATAGAATGTAGAAAAAGCGCTTTATCGTTTGGCCTTAACTAGTCTCGTTGTCTTGCCGTATTTCCAATCTATATAATGTTTCAATTTGAGTCGCAGTTAATTATGGGTTTTCGTGTGTCACTTCAAATGTCCTAACAGATTTTCTTATGGTTGGTGCCTTTTCGTGAGTGTAAGCGCCATAGGACACTGATGCAAGCAGCACATCCTGATGATGATGACGATGTTAGTGATATGTGCTCGTTTGAGTACTCGTTTCCGTAGCCTGAAATGAAACCCACTGATATCTAGTTGTCGTTTAAAAGCATCAGGCGGCTGATGATTTAGAGCAAACAGAAAGCAGGCTATCTACGAAGCTACATATTTTCGGTGCAGCCGGAGTGGAGAAAAAATTTCTAAAAGCATTTATAATTAGTTCGCGTACGGACGGAAACAATCGTAAGTCATTTATTGCCCCATTCGTTCGTTTGGCTGTAGGATCTTCAATGTGCCTAGCTTCCACGACACACGAAAGTTGCACGAGGGCTGGGAAGCTGCCAGGATTCCCAATATTAGACAGATGTGGTTGGGAGGCAGAAGGCTCACTGCTATTTTTCCTTCTTTTATTCCAGAAATCCGTTTAAAGGCAAAGTGTTCCACGAATACGAGCACGAAGATGTGTACAATGGTGTAGTGATTGACTACCGTGGAAAAGTAAGTCCGTGTTCCAGTGCGCAGCAATCAAGTCAATTCCTGCATCAGTCCACCGTGTAACATAACACACGGTGCAATCAAAATGACACCGCAGACCAAAGCACAATACAAACAGCAGGGCAGATTGATCAGTTTTATTATATTAGAGAATGGTCCATCCTCTCGGACGAACACTAGTCAAAATTCATAGAGAACTCTCAGGCCGCCCATGACCAATTCAACCCCCTTTTCTCGCCTATCACATGGGCTAGCGTTTTTATCAAAAGAACGACGAAATGTGCACGTAGACCATCAGGGTCCGGATAGTTTATCCGGGGAAATATCCTGTGATATCCCGAGTGATGCACCAACCAGGACAGCACATTCAGCTAGAGAATATCATAGATAAGAAATGTTCAACTGTGATTCAGTTGAGTGCTCATGAGCGACACTCGCTTCAAGATATCGGTTATTTCTCACAGATGTTGCATTCCTTAGCTACTGAGGTAGACGAGTGCTACTTGATCGTGCATCCAGGTAGTCCATGTTCAACCCAACAATCAACCCTAGGCTTGAGTAGCAAATCCAAATGTCATGCTTGGCCAACAGACCAACAATCGTAATATTCAGTTTGCAGCACACAGCGACATCGCGAATAAATTATGAGTGAAGATGGAGGGTAGATCTTAAATTTCAGTTATTTCTTAGGGTGAAGGTGGATGGTTACTTGGAAGAGAAAGAGCGTGTGGAATAACATTGTCACTAGAGTAACTGTTCATGCATGTTCATCCGTTTTAGGATGTCACACGGGATAACTTCGTGAAAGTATTAAAAGCCGATAAGCAACTTGAAGCCAACAATAAGAAGGTGCTAAAAAGGTGAGTTTGCGCGGAAGGGGTTTCTGCTGATGCAAATGTTGATCACAGCCAGAATTCTGGTTTTGCAGATCACCGTCTTCGGATTTACGAAAGCATAAGCAACTTGGTACATAATCTGTTTATGTAAGCCTCCGATAAGTCAGTCACAAGGATTGGCTTCACTTCCGAGTAAACCCGGCTTATCCATTTCTGATTATGGGTTATTATTATTATTATGATTATTATAATAAGCATCAATCCCCAATGTTAACAAGTTTCAGAACTATTCAGATGTGCGCAGTTGTGACTGGTCAAATATCTCCTCGATCTTGAACAACTTCGGGTTGGTCGAATTTGGTTTGCTCGGATTGAGGAATTGTTTTAACCTACGGTGTTGATCAACGCACATGAAAAACGTTTTTTAGATTATCAAAATTTAGAAGCACTGGTGGCCCTGCCGGTTTATGGTGGTGCCTCAAATCTGTTTCAAAATACATGTCTCGCCTGTGTGGGTTGATAGCGTCACAGTTATTTTTTTCAAAATTCCTCCCACGCCTTTACCCGCAAATTACGAGATGAGAAGCGTCGGCATACAGAAACAAGCCAGAAAACGAGGCAAATGTTTGTTCACTCGAAACCAATATGTCTCCCATCCAGCCACTTGTAGACATTTTGGATTTGCAATTGTGGCGAAATCCGTAATGACCTGCTTTTTGTGCGTGTTCTCTGGTTAACTGGTGTTCCGTACAGGGATGGATGTTTCCGTACATATTCCCAGCTCCCGTGAACCAAACTATTCCGTTCACAGTTTGACAGAAACCCCCTTGATTTAGAAGTATTTGTGAACACCTATTTTTGGACCTACTTAAAGAGCATCGTGTTGTTTTGTGGTCTGATTTCATTCAGCTTTGCTTGCCGGAACTTAGTGCCTCGTGGTCATTTTTTCCCCCAATCCAAAGCGATGGTCTGGCAGCTGTTCACGAAGCCTTTATTCTTAGGTTTCACCAGTCCTTACAATAGCTTCACGGATTCACGGATTGATACACAGGATCGAGGCTATTGCCCAAGTCTCCCGGGTCGGTTTTGTTCTTTTCGGTCAGTGGCTGTCGTTCACCTGAAAGGCACAAGTGAAAAAAGGGTGTAGCACTGCTCTTTATGTTCTCAGCGCGGGGCAGTATGCTCGCCAGCGCGAGGATTCGCATAAATAAATGTCTAATAGTGCTTTAAATTGGGTTCGAGAAGGAGCGTGTACAACCGTCGGAAGAAGATCATTCCACGCAGCTACTACCCGAAATGAAAAAAAGTTTTGTCTAACGGATGTGTGTGCCCTGAGCTTGAAGATTTTCTTACTATGTC